GGCGGGGGCCGAGGCAGTGGGCAGTACGGGGCGCCGCGGAGCGCTGAGGGGTCTGTTCTTCTCGCAGGCTGATCTTCGGCACCCTCTACCCCGCGTACTCCTCCTACAAGGCCGTGAAGACGAAAAACGTGAAGGAATATGTGAGTGTGGGTTCGTCGCGGCCGCCGCTCGAGCCCCCTGGCCTGTCCCCGAGGCGAGGGCTCTCCGGCTCCGCGGGGCCGTCGGTCAGCCCGGCCGCCTGAGCAGCAGCCCGGCGGCTCGGGAGAAGCTGCCGAGGAAGGGCGCTTACTGAAACGGGAGGTTTCAAACCGTAAACGTGGGCTGTTTTTTCTCAGGAGATGCAGAGTGAGGAAAGCAGAGGAAACGCTGCAGTCTGGAAGCATCTGAAAGTCCAGGACAAGTTCTTTCCTCTAACTTTATCTTTACTCTCTGTCCTAAATTTTACTGCTTTTGTTTTCTTCCAAAAGGCTGAGTAATTTTGCTTGGTTTGTGTCTTCCTATCAACCTTGCTTATAACCAGTGTTTTCTGTTGGTGAAGACTTCATGTTCCTTCCTTCTGGAATTGTTTCCCCTTCACTGTCCAAACCGTTGTTACAATTACGGTATTTAAAACACTAAATGCTTTTTAGTGATGTGATGTGTCACCTTACAGAAGGGATGTTCTAAGTTGATCAGTGGAGACGAGCTATTTGGCTTATGGGTGCAGTGAGTTTCTGTTTATCTAGAGTGAGGAATAACCTGATGGAGAAGAGAGGTAACGTGGATGAGTAGGATATAATTTGTCGCTATGGCTTTGTGGTGCAGTCTGAGACTCTTCATCCAGCTGGCTGTTTGCTCCTTACAAAATAACGCATCAGCAGTAAATGTGGCAGGATATAGTTCTTTTTTGTCGCATGTTGCTTCAGTCCTCTGGAATTGCCTAGAGGATAGATAGAATTCTGATGTGTTGGCTTAAAATTCAGCCCACTGGTTTTTGAAGAATATGCCAGCTGAGGTGAGAGTCTTGCTCATAGTGGACAGCTTTACAAATCACATCATCTGGATGAGGTGGTTTTGGGTTTGTTTTTTTTTTTAATACTGATCTCAGCAGAGAAGTCAAAATGGGAATATTCAGGAGGTGTTGATAACTGATACAGTGTTTTGAGTAAGTATTAGAAATATAATCAAAAATACGATGAGCCTTACTAAACTTTGAAGTAATAACATTAGAAACTGAAAACCAAGCATGAAAGAAACTAAATAATCCCATGATCCTGTGGCTTCATAGTTATTTGTGAAGTTATGTATAAAGTAGTATTGTATTACTGTTGTCTTCTCTGGCCTTTATTTCCTCTTTCCTTCCAGTTGCGTATGACCTGTGTTTGTTGCATGAAATGCATATTTTTTTTACCCAGAATTTTATTCTGGCTTATGAGTGTCTGTCACAGAACAATCGTGTTCCAGTTACAGAATCTTTGTTAACTTCAATGCAGACTCGGTTTTCAGAGTTTTAAATTGTTTTGTTGAGAACTTGAGGGGAAGATAAAACCCCATTGCATGCTTGTTCTGGAGCTGAAAGACCCAGTGAATATGGAGCCTTTGAATTTGTAGGCATTCTTTACAGTAAGCACATGCTTATTTTCCATGGACAGACTAGCTGTTGAGGTACATAAATGCTGTGTTTCCTTGCAGAATGTGAACATTGTATTGATCTGATTTTCTTTTGGTAGATGTTACCTAAATTACTGTAAGACTTCCCTAATCTGATGGTGAAAAAGAAATGAGATACAGTACTTGAGTATCATAAAGTTGTCTGAGCAATAGTATCAGCTAATTACCCAGTTGTAGGCTCTGCTAGGGCTGATGTGGAAAAGTATGGCATTCATTTTGGGGTTTTATTTAATATCTCATTGATACAGGTAGTTCTGGATTGCTGCAGCAGAGAATTTTCTCTTGTTTTTATTTTCAGTGAAAATATTGGAGTTGGTTCAAGAAAATGTATTTGAACTGCTGAAACTGATCTTTTGTACAGATTATTTCTCTTTGAGAGGGCTACATCAGAAATAAAAATTTAGGTGTTGGACTGACATCTGCCTAATTCACTTATCCTTGCAGAGCTTCGTCCTTCTCGACATAAGTGGAAAGACGGGAGAAAAACAGTTTTGTTAAATGCAGGAAAGGGGGCCAGTTTATGTTCAAACTGTTCTTAATGTAAAAATTCGGTGGAAAATGTGAATGCTGTGCTGCCACGTTTTCAAAGCCAGCTGTGTCTATGTACTGCTACTTGCTCATAGTGCTTAAGAACCAACATTGGTGGGGGAGAAAGATCTTACAGGTGTGTCTGTGCTAGAAAGTGTGGTGTACTGAAGACTGAGTTGACACAGACCAAGCTACCCCAAGCAGTCCATCAGTGGCATCAGAGTACAGTGCAAACTTACTGTCCTTCCCCACCATGATATAAATTTATGATGAGACCTTGAGCAACTGTGACAAGCTGCTTCTAGTAGCTCAGACTGTTTTAAAAGTCATTTCTTTCTTTTTATGTGTCATCTTCAGCTTCGGTCAAATCTACAGTTCAATGATGCGTTTGCATTTACTGAATTTATTTAGGTTCTTGGTGCAAGCTGGGGAGACTACGTATGTGCAGTTAGCTGAAGTTGGTGGTCATCAACTTTAGCAGCAAAGACATGACTGCTTTTCAGTGGACTGAAAAAAAATATAGCCTGGTTTGACCCTCAGTTTTTGAAGGTGTTTGTAATATGAGGATTACAAACATCCTAAGGAAAAAAGTTATTCTTTCTCTCTGCTTTCTGCTCTTCTAGTTTCAAGTCATCTGCACTTCAGGGACTTTTAGAGCTGAAAGATGAATCCTTTTAGTTTAGTTAAGAGCGATATTTCTTTTTGTCTTTGGCCGTACTTTGTAGGGTGAAGAGTGGCAGGAGACGACAGAGGGCAAGAGACCTGTGCCTTGTATCAAAGATGTGAACGTGCAGTTTGTTTGAATAGTAACAAAGCAATGTTTTCTGTTCTTCTCAGTTCCTCTTCTAATACTCTTGAGCGTTCAGTTAGCAGAATGAGAAAGTCTACGGTTTCATCAGGCTGTTCTACAGTGACCACTCCTGAGTGGCATGAGCTAATTTATATAACGACAATGGTTTTCACTAAGAAAAAGCAGATACTGCTAAGTTCATTACTACTTCTGCATATTTTGTCATGTTATTATTCACAGCCTTTTCCAGATCTTTCATGAAGATGAGCAGCACAGGTCTCGACACTGATTCCTGTGATCTTCCACTGGTAACTTACCTTGTTGTGAAAAATGGCCATTTATTTTTATCCTTTGATTTCTCTCTTTTAACCAATTGTTAATCCTCAAGAGTCCCTTCCTTTTTACCCTTGACAATTTAGTTTCTGAGTGTTTATGTAGACCTATTGTAGACTTTGTAGAAACTCCATACACCTTGCCTGTAAGGAAAGCACTATAGCAAGAGCTTATGGAAACCTTCTAACAATTCGGCTACGTTTGTGAGATTAATTTTTTTCTACAAAAAACTTATTCCACGTATTTTATATAGATATTATTATTATTATTATTATTATTATTATTATTATTATTATTATTATTATTATTAATATTATTATTACCTTCATTTTGTCTAATACTGAAGTAAAATTTACTGGTATGTAGCTTCTCTGAAATCTCTTGCCCATTGTTTGTCACCTTTGACTTGTCATTATTCACACAAGAATAATGCTCTTTCTCATACAAGAGCTGATTTATGTTGCTGCATTGAAGAGTTAACCATTTGTTTCATAGAATTGCTTTAGAAGTCAAGTGATTGACTCCTCGCCCTGTCCAAACTGATGATACAAGGAGAGAAAGAAAAAAAAAGGGTACTTTTTGTGGTGGAAAAAATTTCACAAGAAAAGTGGAAATAATTTGGGCTACTATCTTCAAAACCATCCGCTGTGTTAGAGGGGTTGGAGACAGCATAATTTATTGGATTTTTTTAGAAAGTTTTGGACGATCTTTCAAGAACAGATAATCAAATTTTCCAACACTTGTAAGTTTGTGGAAATATCTGCTTTTATAACTTCATTTGCTGTAACAAAGACTGTCACTACACTGTTTGTGTGATTTTAATATATAGATTAATGTGTGGATCTAATATGTGGAAATTCTTTGATTAGTTCTCCTTTCTCAGTCTTGATGACAGTAAGAGTGTTAAGTTGCTTTTAGCAAAGGTGACCTCTTCTTTCCATTTATCTGCTACTTACACTTATTTTTACTTTTTATCAGCATAGAAAACTGACAATTTTCCTTATAAGATAGAAACTTCTGTTGGAAATTTTTGGGTAGCAGTTTTTATAATTCAGCTGATTACTCTTTAGGAATAATTGACCTGTAGCTGAGAGGCTTGTTACTACAACAGCAGAATGTGAGTGTGTGTGTGTTAGAGGGGAACTATTTTATGTTTGTTTTGAAAGAAATACCTGCTGCTTCAGAGAAGGGTGTGAAGAAGTGGGGAGATAGGTAGTAGACATAGAGATGTGCCATAATGGCACAAAGTATACTTTGTAAACTATGCTCAAGACCTTAAACAAGAAGATAAGGTTAATACGGCATGTTCTTTGTCACTCCAGCTTGCTTTTATTCCCGCTTTAAGTACTGGAAGGCTGCTCTAAGGTCTCCCCGGAGCCTTCTCTTCTCCAGGCCAACTCTCTCAGCCTGTCTTCATGGGCGAGGTGCTCCAGCCCTCACAGCATCTTCATGGCCCTTCAGGTTTTTTTTTTCTTCCCAAAACAAATCAAGAAAATATAGGGCTACAGTTGAAACTGAAGTTTTGCATATGTGTATATAAATATTTATTACAATAATCATGATATGTGAAAGGCTGTAACTTCTTAAAGCAAACTGCTTACTCTTTTTAGATAGCTTGAGACTTCAACAGTGTTGCGTTGTGATATTGCCACTGGGCGTGCATTCATCAGTGTGTCTATATGCATTTATATATTTAGAGCACATTAATCCTGCGTGTTTTCCTAAGCTATAATGTACTGTTTGGTGTGTGACCCTCTCCATTACTGATTATATATGTCTTAGTGTTGTTGAATTCACCCTAATGCATGGAGATGATGAGTCATCTTCACTGAGAAGACATTTTGCTTTTTTCTGGGTGCTGACGGATGTCTATTGAGCGACTGTTCTTTTGCAGGTGAAGTGGATGATGTACTGGATTGTGTTTGCCTTTTTCACCACCGCAGAGACACTCACAGACATTGTTCTTTCTTGGTGAGTTTCTTGGTGGCATGAGTTCGTTTTGTTTTGGTTTTGTTGGGTTTTTGTTTGTGTTTTAGAGAGGAGAGGAGTAGTGTTAGGATACTAAGAATAAACTGTCTCTCCTTTAGGAGTTTTCAATCCCTATGAAGAGTCTGCGGGTTTGTAAATATTGTGGGTAGTAGCTGCTGTCTCAACACTTTCATGTCCTATACTTGCAAACAGTTAGGATTAATACACAGTATCTGTAAAGTATCTTCATCCATTTGTAGCATAAAATATTTTTGAGAAGCTGTTAATGTGAACTGGTAAAGTTTGCGAAATGGTGATCTAAAAGAGAGTTAATAAAAGATAGTAGAAGAAAGGGACCTGTTTTGCTTTGGGAGCCTGTTGTGTGGAGAAGCAGATCTGATGCATGTCTGTGCTGAGTGGTGTTTTGCATTATGAAATTCTCTTCCACTCGTGGGGGTGGGATGCAGTGGAGTCAGGGGAAGAAGGTTCTTAATCCTTTCAGTGCTGTGTGACATATTTGGCAACATGGAGGCCTCCAAAAATGACAAATCATCATTACATGTCTTTAGCTGAACCTTTGGAACAGGATATCATCCTCAGTTTCTTCATTGCTTTAGTGTTTGGGCTTTGCATACATCTCTGAAAGAATACTAGTCAAGAGTTGCATCTTTTAAAGAAACATGAAATAGCTACACATGACTTGTGAAAATGCTCAGCAGTTGTGCCTCTTCCTGCATAAACTTTGAAAAGCAAACAAAGATCTAAAAAGTACAAGAGCTTTGGCTTGTTCAGGTACTTAAAGTGGACCGCTGAAAACAGAAGCCTCTTACTACTAATAGAGACAGGAGAAAGTTTCCATTCAATTGTTGCGGTCTCTGCTACTGGTGCTTCCTCTTTTTCATTTACACTGATCCTCCTTTTTTGTTTCTTATCTGAGGAGTACCTACTGGAGGTTTGAGAAACTGAGCCAACAGCCTTAGCAGGAACTTGAGGTTTATTGAGATAAATAGTTGAAAACTTTGGAAAATGAGAGGGGAAACTAATGTAATATTAACGTCTAGTGAACACACTCTGAACAAACTTCAGAATGATGAGAGTAGCTATCAGATTGTAATTTGGTGTGTTTGCAGGGCTAAGAGATGCCCTGTTTATGGAGTTTTCATGGCTATGGATGAAAGACTAAATGAGACCCAAAGAAGGTATGTCCTAGGATTTCAAAGAGGGTTCTGCTATTCTGACCTGATATATCGATTCTGTTGTTTCTGAGCCTCTACCTTGCCTTTGCTCTTTCTGCCTATGCTGCTGTCTACCAGTTATCTCCATCTGTCTCCATGCTGATCTTGATTCTAGTTCTCCAGCTTTCTCTCTCTGTCTTTTTTTCTTCCCTCTTTCTCTCAGGTTTCCCTTTTATTTCGAGCTGAAAATCGCATTTGTGATTTGGCTGCTCTCCCCTTACACCAAGGGCTCCAGTGTCCTCTACAGGAAGTTTGTGCACCCAACGCTCTCCAATAAGGAGAAGGTACTCTCTCGTTGTTAGAAGATACCAATCTCTCTGGGAGCTAACTGACTTCTGATTCAGTTATGCCACAATAAAAACTGAAATGCGTGAATCGTGCTTATGCTGACATTAGTGGATGTAGAATGATTCTATCTCTGATAACAATGTCATACTGCAGCTTACTGAAGATTGTAACGTAGCCAGTAGTTTGCCTAATGCTTAGAAAGCATGTTTGGCTAACCTAGTGTCATGAGCCCATATTGTCAGTAGTTAATCTCTTTGAATCACAATAGGAGCAGCATGTTCTGTAGCCATGCTGTTTTTTCACATTGTCAGTATAAGCAACTGCTTTGTTTTAGTTGTTACAATTTGGAGATAGCATACTTTAAGTAAAAGTTGCATTTGCAAGCTTTCTGTAAGTAGCAGAGAAGCTGCAGTTACGTGATCAATGACAGCTGGTTCTATTAGCCTGGAAAAAAGCACTGATGAGCTTTGGGTTTTTAAGGGTGATGGTGGGGAGACTTTGATCATGTTTGTTATGAGGAGCTAAATGCCATGTTCCACATTGCCTTCCTAGGAAATTGATGAATACATTACTCAGGCTCGTGACAAAAGCTATGAAACCATGATGCGAGTTGGCAAGAGAGGGTTAAACCTTGCTGCCAATGCAGCAGTTACTGCAGCTGCAAAGGTAATGGAACACCTTCTGTAACATTCAGGAATTCCCCAGCAGTTTAGTTTTGTGTGCCAGCAGTTAGTGCTATGGGTCTGTTAGGGATGCTGGTACCTGTTGGCACCAATCTACTTTTCCTTTCCTCCAGTTTGCCTTGCAGTTAATCCCATCCTGTGACTTATGAATGGATTTTGCTTAAACCTCTTCAATGTTGGTCTTGGGAACGTACTTTTCTTTTTCCCTTTTCTGTTTTTTTCAGAGTACCCTAGTGGGGAATAGGGCACCTTTTCTCTTCTGAGTGATCCCATATGAGATGACCTCGGTGATGGTGAAGTGCTCTTGACCCTAATTTTTATGTCCTCTTAGGGCCAGGGAGTTTTGTCTGAGAAGCTACGAAGTTTCAGCATGCAGGATCTCACTTTGATCCGGGATGAGGATACAGTGCATATGCGAAGCCATGAGCCACAGCTGCGCCCTTCTGGTGGGAGTCTTCTTGAAACCATTGAGGATTCAGGTACAGAACACCCCTGCTGGGCCGTTGTATGAGGTCTCATATGGTGAGCCAGGAGGGGAGGAGGGATTCTCTGGACTTTTCATACATTGGGTCTCAGAAGGACTACAGGTTTCCAAATTATCTGGGAGAAGTTGCATTGTCTTCCCTCATCCCTTCCCATCTGCTAACACATCTCTGTACTTTTTGGATTATCCTTCTTAAGGATTGTTGACATCTCACTTTCATGTGGTCCTTCAGGATGGGACATCTTATAGTTCATGTGATTTTTTTTCAGAAGTATTTGCTAAATCTTTCTCTCTTATTCCTTAGCTTCCTGTTACTCCTCAGGAGAGGAGAGCAGTGTGGCACAGAAGTCTAATGGAACCCCATCGGAGACTAGAACAGACCCATCAGATGAAGATGCAGGAGACAAACTTCCCAAACGTACCCAGAGTCTCAAAACGCCTAAGAAGACGATGAAAGCTGAGGTGAGCAGTTGTTTAAATTATTTCCAGCACAGACACTGATTTGTGAGCTTTGTTGGAAAGCTCTGACTTCATATATGGTCTCGGTGCACTTAAAAGCTGTTTATATAAACTTTGTCACACTGAGTCTTTGCTAGTTAAGTCCTACATCAGAGGACTTGCTGTCTGCTTGCTATACTAGTCTCTAGTTTTTTAATTTTTATCGTGCCTGTAAGCCTCTGTCATAAGCCGGGATCCAGCTTTGCTTTCATTCAGGCTTTGTGTCGGAGGGTCAGACATTAGATATTTTTAACGTGTTTTGTTGAGTATATCCTCTCTCCTGTCTGTCACAGTCTGAATATATAATACTACTGTGACGTTTATCCTTGGGACAGCCACTTTCTCCTCATCTAAAACACAATGGCTCTGTACCCTCTTAGGCCTTCCTGGACTTCTGCATATTAGATATGGGGAAAATGTAATTTTTCTCCTCCACACCACTCCCCATCTCCACCCCCCCTGCCCTGCTACCTCCCACCTCAGGGTTTTATCTAGAACCTTGGGTAACTCATCAGGGTTGAGCTGTCCCCTCCATATGACCATGTGATGATCCAAGATATTTACAGCTATTCAGATGGGACGTGAGTTGCCTGTATTGTTATTAAAACAAAGCATACGCAAAAATAAGTGCACTTGTGTCCAAGAGCCATTTTGTAGAATATGCTTTTTGAGGTGCTGTTGTCGAGGTTTTGACTCTAACTCAAACATTTCTTGTAGTTTGATTTATACGTGTTAAATTGCTTCTCCCTTTTTGTGAAGTTGGGGTCCTGTTTGCTTGATTCAACTTAGATTCCTGATTTTATTTTTTATTTTTATTTAAGATAAAGGGTGCTATACGACTGGCCCACATTGTTGAACTTTTCAGGCTAAATATTAAATATTTTGGAGGAAGGTAATTGCTTAGTGTGTCATTTTAAGTCTTATTGGTAACCTGATTTTACAGTGTACAGGACACCTTTGAGTGTGATTAAGTAGTCTTTGTGACAGAATCACAGAATAGTTGAGGTTGGGAGGGACCTCTGGAGATCATCTGGTCCAACCCCACTGCTCAAGCAAGGCCATATAAACCTAATTTCCCAGGACCATGTCCAGGTGGCTTCTGAATATCTCCAAGGATGAACATGTGTGTCTAAAGATGCATTTAAAACCAGCCTGGATCCTTTTTAAATTCCCATGGCTTATTTCTGAGTTGACCGCTCTGCTTTCTTCTCTAGCATATTAGATAGGAGCAGGGAAACAATAGGAACAAAATTTGATTCCAAGCTTCCTAGTGAGGAATTTTTAAAGTGAAATCATGAAAAGACAGTAACGACTCTTCTATGCTTTTTATTGTGAATACAGAAATTCCGATAAAGCCCTTTGCAGGCGTATTGGGTTTTATGCTCAGTCTGTTTGGATCTTTATTCAGGTGTAGGAATTGTAGGAGGCCTTTGACTAAGGTCTCCAAGGTTGCCCGGAAGGACTGAATGCATTGTAGATCATAAACGCACTCTTCTTTCCAATGTCTAGAATGAAAGTAAAGTGTGCAAACCAGTTCAAAATGTTTCCACGTCTTTCTGAGAATAACACTTGGGATGGCAGTCAAGAAGCAGAAAAGTTATAACAGTGAAGTGTAATGTTAATGCTACCAGCTAGAAATATTGCTATGTCTAATCTTGTGTGGAGACAGCTGACTTCGATTTTATCATCACACTTGTCCTGTTCTAGAATGTCTTCCTCTCTTGGTTGCTATTTGATGGATATGCTCAGAATGATTTTTTTTTTTGTTACACTAACCAAAACCAAATGGGATGGTTAAATAGCCTTTTTGAAACAACGGATGACAACTAATAGGGTCATTGTGTTGTAGTTTTTGTCCTATTTTCATTCTGCATCTTTCTTTTAGACATCTAGGTGTTAAAGTAAACTAACCTAAGATGCCTCTTTTTCTTTCTTCTCAGCTTCCAGTAAGAAGTGTGAAAGCCCGCCCTAAGAAGAAAGCTACAGGCTCTCTTGCTTCTGGCGAGTCATCCTAAGGAGACCTCTACCTCCTCAGCACCTGTCTCTGTCCTGGGATTTGCCTGTCGCTTTTGAAGGGAAACTCCCCAAAGGAAGGGAGCTGAGATTCATGTACATAACAGATACTGCTTTGTAGTGCTCATTCCAAGGCAAGGGGGAGGCTGAGATTCAGAAAATGAAGTAGAGGATACATATCCTCAGGAATTTCCTCCTGTTGGGAGGAGGGAATTCCTCTCTGTTGGAGGGAATGCTGATATGTGTGTACATAGCCTGTTGCTTTGGAATTCCCACTTTATAACCCTAGTTGGGGAGAATCTTTGCTGAAACAACTGACTAGGGTTAGAGACATCCATTGCACAGAAGCTGGAAAAATATTAGACACTGGAGTTCCACAGGGGTGGGTGGCTCCCTAAAATGTCTTATCTTGCTCTGGGTATTCTTCTGCAGCTGTATGTTGTTAAGAAGTGCCCACCATGATTCATCCTCCTTAAGAATGGACCATACCTGTCATGTCCATCCGCTTTGAGAAGGTTACAGAAATGATGTGTGCTGAGTGCTTTTGAACATAAAGGACTAGCTCATGGGAGGAGTATGCTAGATTTCCATTGCTTTTTTTTTTTTTTCTTTTTTTCTGGAAGGCGAAGGGAGATTATTATAAAACTGAGTAATGAAGAAAACGTGCTGTTATATGCACATGTGATGGAGTAGATACAGGTATCTGTAAGGTTAACGATTGAGAAGGAAAGTTGAGCATCTCTAAGATTTTGACTCTTTTTGAAGCTGCTCAAATTTTATTTCAGGTTCTGTTGTTCACTTTGATTCCTGTGAGAGCACCAAAGTGAGGCAAGTCCCATGCAGTGGGAAAAGTTGGGAGGGAGAGTGTTGCTTTGCCTTTTAGTGGTTGAACTCCGTGTCATCCTGATGCTTGTTACTATGGACAAATTCTTTCATTCTGGCACATGATTGGGGAAAATCTGGTTCAATATAGTCTGCAGGCATACTTGAGAATTTCAGAAGCCCTTCTCTCTCAGCTTTAGGAGGTCCAGTCCTCAGGGCACGAGAACTGATAAATTACTGATGAATCTCACTAATTCCAGGATTCCAATTATGAGGGATAAAAAGCAGGGGGTAGGGCACAATACTGTTGATGAATCAGTCCTCTTGCTTTATCCTACTGCAGCCCTTGTACGAATTTTCTGTCTGACCGTGTGCCATGTTTATCAATGTCCTAAGACTTGAGCAATATGTAACACTTGAGACAGAACTGCATTGAATGTAGAATATGTATTGTGAGATTGAAATTGCAGCGCTGCAGAGAAAATTTGCCTCATGCCAAGCCGTACTGGATTCTAATCTGTTGAGCATTGTTCAGGGGAGATCCCCCATGCAACAAGCCAACAGAGTCAATGGGAATTTGAGATGAGTAGAGTTCCTGCTGTCAAGATCTATAATGGGGGAGCACCATTGTAGACACGGTTGTCTGAATGAATACTTGGTGGTGTTAATATTTACTGAAACAAGTTGTCAAAGGAACCTGGCTCCTCCTTCCCTACTGAAGACCATTCTTAGCTCTAGGTGCAGGCATTTGTGTTTGCCCACATCTTTTGCTGTTGAATTTCTCAAATTACAGTGGATTCTTCACAGAGACCAGTGTATAGAAGCACTTCTGCAAGTAACGTTCCGCAAGTATTTCTGTCCTAAAGAACAGCCCTTCAAAAGTTTGTAAGGTTGAAGATTAGGACTGAATTTTTTTTGTTGTTTCATATTGTCTTGTTGGCAAATTGTTATAAATTGACTAGTTATTTTAGAAAACCAATTAAGTTAATTTTACTTTTATTTGTAGCTTTTAAAAATTGAAGTCTTGACAGACCGTGTCAGAAACTTGAATCTTGTTAGAAATACTTGTCCTAAATTATCCACAAGGCTGTATCCAGAAGCCAGTAGAAAAATCCTTGATTTGTCTGAGTTTTGAGTTTCACAAAAAAAACCCAAGTATTTTCTTCTTTTTTAGCTTGTTAGCAAACATTGTATACGTGTCTCACTAGCACACACAAAGGCATGTTCTGAAGCAGGAATTCTTTGTGTTTCCAAAGGAAGTTCATCTTCCCATGCAAGAGATAAAAATCTTTACTGATTATGTGGAATATTCAGTTGTGAGGAATTGCTGTCCTAGATTTTACTGTACTGAACAAGATAGAACTATTATTCTCTATATACCAAGTATCTCTATGACCACATTTCTTCAAATTTTTTAACTAAAAATTTCTGTAGCAAATTATTTATGTAAATCATTGTGAGGGACTTGATTTGGAAGCCAAGTCTCCCCTTATGCTGATCTGCATGCCCTTTCCTTGTGCATGCATTGCGATGGTCTCAGATTACTCAGTTTTCACACACTGACTTTCCAGAATGTTTTCTAGAATCAGTTTGTTTGTAGAAACTCTTTCTGCTTTGAAGCACAGGAAGATTTTTCTGGAGGCTCAGTTTTGGCGTTTGGATTTACCTTTGTCTTCCTAAGCTAGGTCCTGTGCTAAGTGTATCTTGTACTAGCATTGATGCTCAATTAGGCTGTGGGTAAGTACGGGTCAGTCTTACTCTGACTTTTGTTGTGCAGAGGAGTTAAATGACTTCTGGTTGTAAGAGAGGCCCTGGAGTAGAGTCAGAGACTATTACCTAGTGTGCAGTATGAAGCTGATGATGTCAAGCAGGAGAACTTACCCAGAGCAAGAGCAATGTCTTAGCATGGACACTATTTTCTTCCAGCACAAATGTGACTGCTAGATTGTGTTCTGCTTGATCAAAGCCTCTGCAGATCTGCCACCACCCATGTGACCTCTTAGTGAGTTTCTAGATCCAGTTCTGCATTGGATGACATGGTCTTGCATAGAAGTTCTCTTGTTAATGAAAATGCTGAATGTGCTGTTTTGATAATATGCTTTTATCAGCTGTTTTTCAGTATTTTCAGCAGGAAATGCTGGAATGTAGTTTCTCTTCAGTATCATCTGTGGGCTTCATTGTGCAATTAAGCAAATGGTTAAATCTTCACCTGGCAGTAGAACCCATTGTGTTCAGTAAGTAGTTATACCCCTTTCCTAATATGCTTGGGCACAGAGAGAAACACAGTAAGAGAAAGTGATACCTGAAGTTGGGGGTGGTACATGTGTGTCAAACTTTGTGTGCCTAAAAATTATCCTAAAATACCTGTACCATGAGATACAAAGTGAAGCCATGACTGCCTTCTGGAAAGAAATGTTGTTATCTCCATGCTTTGTAATACTATGAGTCAGTGTTGTGCTGCTGGAAAAGAAAATAGTGAAATGTAGTTTCCCTCTGAGAAACTTAATGATTTGCTGCACGAAGGGAAAAAATGTTTTCTTGCTTGGCAGTATCCTCTCTGGTGGATAGGAAATAGGAAAATACAGAGGAGACTACTGTCAGGTTTGAAACCCTACATTTCTACTAAACATCTTAATTGCATACTGCTCTTTATCAAGTTTCTGATTCTCCAGCATTACGTTTCCGAGGCTGGGAGACTGATTTCTTTTAGACTAGATGAACTTGCTTGGTATGTAGAAGGTGTATGGGAGAGAGAGGAATGCTGGTGTTCTTAAAATTGCAAAGCTTGTTCTGGGGAAGCTACACCTTCCCCCATTTTAGTGAACTGAGTTGCATTCGTTGTCCTTTTGCAGTGCAAGGCTTTCTTTTTTCTACATCTCTCTTCGAAGTATGACTCCTTCATAATATACAGCTAAGTCATTTCTACCTTGAAAAGCAAGATTCCTAGAGAACCCTGACTTTCTAGAAATTGTTATTTATTCTTTGCCATCTTAATGAGCAGGAAATATAGTGCCTTAGGAGGAAAGTGGGATAACTATGGAATATTGTGCTGGTTCTTTGATCTGCACATAGCTGTGTATCAAGGAGGCTTGTGTGTTAATTGTGAAGTGTCATTGTATGCTTGAAAGCAGCTGTTGAATTGAGCTGAGTTTTCCTATCTGTCTTCCAAACTTGCCTATAATGCTGGAAAGTGTGGCTTATTGTCTAAGAGAAAAATCTAGGGGAGAAGAAAATTCTTGTCCTCCTTTGTGATGGGGACACTGTATTGTCACATTACTCTTCTACTTGGTAGGGAGATGCTGAATCACATCTCTCTATGTAAGTACTCTCTGGTCATCTTTCTGGTCAGTACTATAGCTTTTCTTGCTTTAGCCACTAAGAATTTTTAATGTACCACCTGGCTAAAGCATCTTGTGGTGCTACTTTGAGTTGCCCTGTAAAGTCAGGTATGTGGAAAACCAGCAAAGTGTTCTGAAGCTATATGAGTTCCTAGAATTGTAGAGTCGTCTGAGTTGGAAGGGACCTCTGGAGGTCATCTGGTTGAACCTCCCTGCTCAATCAGGGCCACCTAGAGCTGGTTGCCCAGGAGTTCCTGTGTGCTATTTCTGGTCTGGAGTCTACTGATTCTAATGTTTAAGAGCTGGTAGGTGCAGAAATGCATATTCTGTATGGGGATGTGCTTCGTTGTTACTGAGGAAAAGGGATTCCTGGTCACCTTTCATCTGGAATTTGGCATTCTTACAAGATGTTGTAAACATAACTCAGTCTTACGTTATTTATAGGTATTGTTCAGAAGCCTGGAGGCTTCAGAAGAGATCTTAAGAGATGTGCAGAGTAACGTGAGAACAATTGGTTTGTACAGTAAATGAAGACAATAAACCTGCATAGCAGCTAAGAACTTGTCTTGTAAGATAGACTTAGAGTGGAAAGTGGGCTGTGTACAGTACAGAGTTGTCCATGAAATACTGCTGACTTTCTGATCCTCAAGCAATACTTAAACTCTGTGCTCTACAGATTAGAGCCTGATTTCTCTTACAGCACTTCTTTCTCTGTGTCTTACCTTTCTAAGCTGGACTTGAGTTACGTGCATTGAGACTCTTGAACCTTTCGTCACTTCAGAACAATAAAGTTTGAATTTTGCCTCAGCAGGCAGCTGATCTGCAGGAAGGACCAGATGAGTATCAAGTATCTCACGTCGCTTTTGTAGTAGATGTGTTATGCTGGGGAAACACCAGCAGCGAGCTCCAGAAGATATGTTCATCTGGGAAATTAGTGCCCCACACCCCCCTCCAAGCTCACGTTTTTGGATGAACCAAATGCTGGACTCTGTTATGCTCATATACACGGCTATCTGTAGAATCTCAAAATTCAATATCAGAATTGCCAGTGCTCGATTTCTGATGAGAACTGGAATCAAAATAATACAGAGCGAAAAGAAACAATGGCAAATTGGTGGGTTTTTTTCTACAATTTTGCAGGTAGATTTAGTTCTTTGCTGCTGCTTTGGCTAGAACCTTTCCATAAACCCCT